AGCTTTTCTGAGGGATTTTTAATACCATCCCATGCTCAAGTATATTTTGAAATATGCCAAGATATGATTGATTGCAATACCTTGTGCTGAAAAAGTGGCATATTGGGATCACATGCCCTTGAGTATGAGCTGTGCTGTTTGTTTTAAAGTGGTACATCAAACATGCCTGGGTGAGCAGCTGAAATGCTTGTGGGACCAGGTCACTTACATATCTCAGAGTAAGGCTTGCTGGAAAAGCCTGTGTGATTGAGAGTCAAGCAACTGAGCAAAAAAGTTCACTGACTAATAAGAAAAACTTGCAGAGTAATCCTATTAAATTCCCTCCCTTCTGGTAAGTCCTGATGTAAATTTACAGATATTCTCTATAAATGTGAAGGAAGGTTTGTTTCTGTGATAGAACAAACTCTACCAGCAGTTTCCCACACCACCCCAAGAACATTCTTTCATTATCTTGCTCCTGTGTAATAATTGCACGGAGCAGTCACAAACTTGTTTTTCTACCAGTTGAAACTACAGAACAATGTGTATGCCTTGACCTGGATTCAGGGAGAGAAAAAGTCACTGTTGGCATAGACTCCACCTTGAAAATTTGCCATCAACATGGCAGAGAGTTGCTAAAGGCTTATAATGCGTAATTGAAACGGCTGAATGCCTGCAAGGATTCTTTGAGATAAGGATTGTCTTTGAAAACATTTTAACTAGAGGTCTGGATTGTGTCATTAATCTCTTCTGTAGTCCTATTACTTTTTAAAATTGTATTATTTCTGGTGTGATTAGCTTGCAAAGTAAATAGAAGGTGCAGATTTTGTAAAATATCTTTTTTCTTTATGTGTTTTATGTCAGACTGTTTTAAAAGCTTATTATGTAGTTGTTAAATATAGCAAGACATACATACATTATGTATAATCAGCAGAACAAAAGGGTTTCTGATGGCAGGAGGGTGGCCCTGCTGCACAGGGCAGCCAGTGCAGTTCAGGGGATGCATCCCATTCCTGTGCTGGCCCCAGGGCTGGACTCCTGCTGTCCCTCACCTGTTGTGGTGGTGATCTGCTCCCAGAACGTCCTGGCCCTTTGTCCCAGCTGTGTGCTGGCCCAGCTGTCCCTGCAGGGCTGGGTTTGGGTGGCTGCACTCGCAGGGTTCAGTGCTGGATGTCCCAGCTCAGGGTTGCTGTTCCAGTGTCGCTCCTGAAGGCATGGTTAGAGCTGAGCCATCTGCCTTGACACAGGATTCAAGAACTTATTTTTTGCCCCATACCTATATATAAATTTTTGCTAAGTTATTTTTGGTTTGAATCTCGGTCTGTGATGTCTTTATCCCCAGCTGCAGTTGGTGCTTAGTAAGTGGACCCTTTGAGGCTTCAGTAGTGCCTTGTGATGGATGGCTCCTGCCTGCTGCGGGATTCACCCGAGCTGGAATGTCCTCACAAAGCAGGGCAGGGAATTCAAATGTGTTCTTCTGAGAGCAGCAGTAAGTAAAGCTGCCTTTCTAGCTGTTCTCTCAATTAGCTCCTAGGAGATTTTCCTGCTTTTCTAGTTTCTCCTGGGGATATGTGACCTGATAGCATATTGCTATAAATAATTATTTTACTAGTATCAAAATAGGTACTGTACACAAACACAAAGCAACGTTTTCAGCATCTTTTTTTGGATGCTGTAAATACCAGGTTTTCAGACAGGCTGTTTCCTTTCTTCCTTTTTTGTTTCTGTTCTTTGGAATGCAGGCCTGACAGTTCTGATCTTCAGAACTTGGATTGTTAGTTTTGTGCTGCCCGTTGAAGTGAAATTGCTGGTGAGTAGTACAGAGCGCCCAGCCCAAGGCAGGGAGGTGAGGGGCAGGCTGGCATTGCTGCTGCTGTGGGGCAAAGAGCAGAGGAATTGCTTTCCAGATGGATACTGCAGGGGATCATCACTTGTTTGTAAAAGGGAGTTATTGAAAAGAAAAAAGAAACTGGTCATAAATGCAGACGCCACAGCAAGGAAAAGAGTGGTCACCCAAACCAATGGTTATTGTGTGGTGACATTGGGAAGAGCAGAGCAGCCACGCCAGGCCTGGCTCTGCAGAGGTTTGTAAAAGGGTCCCATAGCTAGTAAAAATCAGCATCAGTAGATCTGTGGTAGCTATCAAATAAGTCAGTTTTGTTATTTAATTAAAGACACCCTCTTTATCAACCCTTTCCCCAGTGAGGCTGCACAACAGCTCTGTCCGTGGGGAGAGGCTGGGAGCTCGCAGGACCCCGATGCTCCTGGGAGGTAAAAAGTGCCCTCAGCTTCCTCCAGTGAGGCTCAGCAGCAGCAGAATCCCAGAAACCAGGGAATCTGGGCTCAAAACATTTGGCTCTGCCTCCAGTCAGCAAGACAAAGATGGGCATCTGTTCGTATTTTAGGGGTAGTGGTTGAAAGGATTTTCAGGTGCTCAGCAACTGCTTTCCTATACATATAATCTCTGCTAAGATAATGTTTATTCTAAAATGTTTTCCTTTTAAAATTTTTAATAAATTAATTAGGAAGGGACTTAGACAAAGTTCAGGCTCAATATCAATAGGAAGAAAAGTTATGCAGATTGTATTACTGTTCATGTGTAATTAACATTGATATCAGAACTTCAATTAAGGCAACTGGAAACTGCTTCATGGTTCCCCTCAGAGCCAGTGTGGACTTACTCAACGTCCCTAAATTTAGTTTCCATCTGAACTGATTTTGGTGAAAGCTGACTGTTGATTTCTGTGTCTTATGCAGCCGATGTTTTGTAGAAGAACAGCTGCAGAAAACATGTGGATCCAAAGTCATCAAAAATCCCATTTTGATACCTTTTTGCTGTGACCTCCACTTCAAATGTTCTAGTTCCATATTTTAACATTTCCCTCCATTTGGGCAGTGGGAGAGGAGTACTTCTGGTCTCATAAAATAATTTATGAAGTTTCAGACTTTGCCTGGAAATATTTTGGGTGACTATTCTAAAACTGAATTCTCTTACTCTAGTTTAATATTTTATTAGAAGTTGGGAATGACCATTTTAATCTAGAATTCAATTAAAAGGACACCTTTTGAGGTCATCTGGTAATTCTGTGTGGAGGTCTGGCACCATCTGAGGAGTATACATGACTGCAGGTTATAGTTTTATTAGCTTGATTTTTAGACTAATAAAATGAAAATGTTAGCACTTTTTACATTTCATTTTATTAAATAGGAACTATATAAGTAGATGTTTTACAGTAAAAATCAGATGCTTGTTTAAAATATGCATTCAAAGCACCCTGTTTGGAACATTTAAATAATTTCTGTGGAGTTTGCTTTGACAAGGAGCTGGTTGTGGAGCTGGACACTGAGCAGGGACATCCCCACTGGGGATGGTGGGAGCTGCTTGGAGCACTTGTTATCCCTGCTTCATCAGCCCCTGGGCACGGATGAGCCTGTGCTGGGCAGTTTATGAAATTGTAATATATCAAAACCACCTAGAATTCCCCAGCTGATTGTGAAATGCTGAGTAATTGCTGTTACTGTGCGGGATGGGATGTTCTCTGTGACTAACCAGAGTGGTGCCTTGCTGGGATTTGGAAGCGGATTGCTGTAGATACAGCCTGAATTTGCAGGCAGGAGATGAGAGCTGTGCAGGCCCTGCTGTGTGCCTGTGCTGTTCAGGCTCTGCCTCTGCTGGATGCTGAGCCGTGGCAGCCCCGAGTGCCTGATGGTGATAAGAACACCTTGTTTTGCAGGTGCCCCCAGGTCCCCGTGCCTGTGTGGAGCTGTGTGAGCTGGAGCTCTGCAGTTCTCCTGCCCCTTCTCACCACTTCAGGCAAGAGGAAAAAGTCCTGGAGAAAACAGGAAATACATCATGGATTAAAAGACCTTTTCAGATTGTTTTTAGCTGTGTTTCTCACCACAGAAATGGCGTGATATCTCCTTTCCCAAGTCGCCCCTTGCCCCTGGTTTAAAACACAGATGTGCAGGGCTGTTGACAGGTGTCTGCCCAAGGTGTAGGGACTGACTCTGGACTGCTTGAATGGGTTTGAAATCAGCTGTGGTACTTGGGGGCGAGGTAGATGGCTGAACACTCCAGTCTAATCTTTTATTTAGATATTTAAAACATGGACCTGAGGCATAAGAAGCTGCCTTGCGTGTCTGCTGTTGAGGACTCACATGAGAGAGAGAAGCCAGCAGTTTTTTAAGGACAAATGTAGTTATCAGGGTGCATAGCTGGATGTGGATTCTTCTGTGGGTTCAACACTGCACTGAGACTGAAGTTATTTTGGTCATCCCAGTAAAAATATGCATATACTCTATTCTGTGGTGAGGTTTGAGAAACTCACCTTAAAAACTGGGATTGGGAATTGAGGCACCATAATCTCCTTGCTCTAGTTTTATGGTTCTCATTATAAAATTCTATTTTCAGAATCCAATTATTTTAAATTAAAATACTTGCCATGTGCAAAGCACCTTATAATTCCTGAGCTACTATACTTGCATTCCATAAGTTGTGTGGGAGAAGGACCAGTATCATACCTGTTTTACATTTGTGGAAACCTGGATACCACGTGCTGTTGCTTCTCCAGATGAGATTTGGTGATAGACCAATAAACAGTCTTACTTGCCAGTGTTCTGTCAGAACAGGATCATTAGATCTTTTACCCTCTTTGGAGAGGTGGAAGTGAGCAATAGACCTGATAAAATCCAGTCTGGGTAACTGAGAGCGTTTCAGTGAGGAGTTTTTGGGGGTGAAGGGGATGTTTGTCCTGGCAGCCACTGCAGGTGTTGGTGTCTCGATGAGCTGTGTGTGGCACTGCTGGGCTGGGTGTGTGCTCCATCACAGCATGGTCACATCTGTGTGACACAGGCTCTGCAGGACACTGCTCAGTGCCTCACATTGGTGCTCTTTTCCCTAGAAATGGCTTCACTTTGTTTTGAGCTGGAAACTATAAGAAACTTAATTTTAAGAAAATATTATTTTCTTTTTTAGAAAAACTAACAGGAGTATGTGATGTTCTTTATCTTTTATTCCGTAGGTCAGTAACAGATCCACGAGATGGAAAGAGAGTTGCACTCAAAAAGATGCCCAACGTCTTCCAAAATTTGGTCTCCTGTAAAAGGGTCTTCCGGGAGTTGAAGATGTTGTGTTTTTTTAAGCATGACAATGTAAGTAAATTCAAAGTAATCTTGAAATCTTTGAGAAAACCTAAATGTAAAATGGAGCTCTCTGTAACAGAAGTGTGCTTTGTTACAGAATATCTAAAATGCTTTAAGAGCTCTCTAATTTTAGGGTGATGAGATTTTCTAGAAACTCAGATATTGCTGTTACAAACACTGTAAAAATGAAGCTGTCAGGAATCTAGGGATATTCCAAAGTGTTTGCACACAGACAATCAGTACACTTCTGCCCAGCCTTATTTCAGGCTTCAGTAAATGTCAGTCTGCACAGGGCTGTGTCAGCTGGCTCTGTTCCTCCCGAGCTGTTCTGTACTCCATGGTCCTGTCCCTTTGCTGGGCCTCTCCCAAACCTGCTTTAGGTAAAATCAGTCAGCTTAAGTTAAAATGTTTCAACACTATTTGGGGTGACCCATGAAGTTTGTAGTGCATCTGAAGTTTGGGTGCTTCACCCAAATGTCATTAACCCTGCTAGGATGTATCCAAATGACCACACCAAGGAGTATCTTTCTCTGTAAGGATGGGAATTCTCTGCTGCTGCTTTTCTACATTTTTGCTTTTTTCTACCTTTTTTGCCTTTTGCTTTTTGTACCACTGAGCTGCTTATTCAGAATGGGAACAACTTTGGGGTTTGCAATTCCCACGTGGAAGCAGTGAATCACAAAACTCTGAAAGACTAAAGGCAGAACAAAGTGTATTATCTTCTGCTTTTACATTTCTTTGTTGGAATTACTTCTTTCAAAGATTTTATGTTCATATATATTGTAAGGAAACCACTTTTTATTGGATAGATAAATTTGTGCTTTCAAACTACTACTCAAACAGCTGGAAAAAATTTCTTGAGTTAGAAAAGAGAGAGACATTGAATGTACAGAATATCTGACATGGTGGGTTATTAAATTTACATACCTGGTGAGACAGAACATTGGTCTGTCTGTGGGATAGAATAAAATGAAGCCACGTGAGAAATGTGCAGTCTGTCTTTTTGAAAGGGATTTGTTCTGGAATAGGCCTTGACCTTGTGTGGTGTTTCCTAGGTACTCTCTGCCCTCGACATCCTCCAGCCTCCACACATCGACTATTTTGAAGAAATGTATCCTAAATATAAAAATAGAACTTCTTAATTGAGGTAGATGTGATTTCCATTAGCTTAGAAGCTGCCAGCGTTTGGTGTAACCTATGAAATGGAACCACAGGAGCCTCCAGCCTGCATGTGGACAGTTTTGTTTCCAGAAGTGAGCCTGTAGCCTCCAGAACTCTGAGGTGGGATGGTGCAGGACTGAGCTGATTCCACGTGGGCCAGTGTGTGCAGGGAGTGTGGGACTGACCTGCAGGCCCTGCTGCTGCTGCTGCTCACGGGGATTCCCCCAGAATATTTATTGAAATCTATATCCAGTAATTAATCTCCTCTCAGTTACTAGGACTTTGAAAGACTTTGTGTTGGTTTCAGAGAGGTCTGCCTTCACAGGCTTTGAAATGCTGAGTTGTCAGAGAGGTTTCAGTGGACTGGCAGGGCTGTGCCTTTCCTTGGTCACCGTGTCCTGGTCCAGAGCCCCTTGCCCAGAGCTGTGTCCCACAAATGTCCCGTGTCACTGGTACCAGCTGCCTGTGGGGAGCTGTGTTCTAGAAATGAGCTTGAGGGAAGAACTTCACATGAGTGTCATGTTTTGGTTTGTTTTTTGTTTGTTTTTTTTTTTCCTTTTCTAACTTGTCTTGGGCTGTCTTCTAGTTGTGAAGGAGGGAATTTCTGCTTTCTGGAACACTGAAAACTGAATCCCTGAGCTGGGAGGGCTCTGACTCTCATGGGAGGAGAAGTTCTTTGCCACTCCTGGGGTTAGACTTGGGCAGGTTGGGTTTCCTTGCTGGTGGGTCTAAACTGCTTTTTTGTATGACCCACTTTACAATTAATAGGTGGGAAATTGTCATTATTTTTAGGTAACCTGAACTTTTGAAGTATGGTTTGATCTATTTATATAATACCTTGGAATGATTGGTGAAGAAAGTAGGTGTAATCAACGTGGTGATTTTAACCAAAGTACAGCACAACTTGCTGGTGGAGAAGCACATTATTTAGTTGAAAATATTGCTGTCCTGTAGTGGGGCTTTTCCATATGAATTTAGGTAAAGCTTTAAAATTCTGCTTGGGTATTTCTTTCACGTGAAGAGCATAACAGTAGTCTTCAAAAACGGGATTTTGGTTATGTGCACTAGTTCAATGCCCTCATTTAGATCAAGTCATATGAGTTATAAATCAGATCTAGGTTAAGGATTACTCCTTCCATGTAATTGTACAATCAAGAATATTTAATGGGATAAGCTTATTTTTATGAGCTTAGCTACTGCCAAGTTCTGAATATAAAACCAAAATGTTAGTTTCCTTCATGGCTAACTGACTTTAAGTCATTCTGAGTTATGTTCTATAGGGCTTTTTAAATATTTTTTGTTAATTTCTTGACTGCAATATTGGCAACAGAAGACTATTGCTCTGTGTTGTCTTCTTTGTCCTTTATTTTGAAATAATTAGAGTAAGTGCACTTAGGACCCTTAAATTCCTTAAAAGAATGAGTTAGTAAATGTTTTGATTTATATACCCATTTTTAATTGCGTGTATTTCTGCTTACTTGAGGTTGGTTTGAAGAAGATCAGGTAAAGGTGTTCCATATTTGGGGGGTGTAGATGTCAAAACTTCTTTTGTTGATCCACTGGTAGAATTCCCAAAGATATCATAGGATTGTTCCTTTTTTAGGACGTACTGAACAGTGATAAAAGTGTGAAGGGCTGGAGTTGGTATTGAGTGATTTCCTTTGTTCTTTCCAAAGAGTTGTAGTGCCCTTTTTGGGGAAAGAAGTGTAATAAAAGAATGACTAAAATGATATGAATGATGTGTTGCAAATGAGCTGGTAGAGTTCATCTCAATTATTCAGTGTTTCGTAGGTACCAGCAGGAATTGCAGAGTGTATTTTTTAAAGAGAACTAATTATAAAACCACCTTAACATTTTAATGGTAAATTAAAAGATTTCTAAGGAAACCGGTGATGAATAAAGGAATTTTGATCTAGTGAGATTTTTGTTTTAGGATGAAAATTCCTGGCAAACACTCAGATTAAGATATAATTTGAATTAATAATGAGGTTTGTGGTTGAAAAACTTTGTGGCCATTTTGAATCTTACAGGTATTCATGTTTTTGCCAATATCACCTAGTGCAAAAATGAATGATTGATAGCTCTTTTTTCCAATTACAAAATCTTCCACAATTGATTGTAATACTGAATTCAGCAGCTGCAGGCCCACGGATGTTCTCCTTTGAGAACCATCCAAAGTTTCTGTAGTAACTCTATGAAAACTTTGCCTGTTAAAGCGGATATCAGAAGCTGCTGAAAAGTCACTGCTTTTCAGGGGTGGGGTCTGGGAGAGGCTTGAATAGCAGTAAAAGCAGAGATGCTCAGTAGATTCACAGGGAGGTGAAGGCTGTGTTTGGTGGATTCTGGGCAGATCCCTCGTGTCTGTAGGGTGGAGAGGAGCGAGGTGAGGGGCGGCAGCGGGCAGTGCCAGCCCGGCAGTGCCGGCAGCACGTGCTCGCCTGGGACAGGGTTTTCCTCCGATCCATCTGGGGCCGGTTCCTCTGGGCCAGCAGCCGGACCGGCCGGGCGGGCGCTGCCGCAGCACGGGGCTTTGGGGGTGCACGGGCCCAGCCCAGGTGAGCGTGCCGCTTCGCCGAGGGCCCTTCATCCCTTTCAGACATTTATCTGTCGCTTTGTAAAATTCACCAGCTCAGCAGGGCCCAGCCAGCAGAGCAAGTCGAGTTCTTTTGTGCCGCGCATTTGCTTTGATAATTACTCTGAAGCAAATTGGTACATTTGTAGATCTAATTTTATACAGCTACTTAACTAATTACTGCTGTCAGGAGTAATTTCTCTCTGGTAGCAGCGCTGGGTAGCGGCGTGTTCAGTGCCAGCGGCCGCCCCACGGCCAGGGCCCGGCCATGGCACTGAGGGAAGGAAACTGAGGGAAGGGAAACTGAGGGAATGGAACTGAGGGAAGGAAACTGAGGGAAGGAAACTGAGGGAAGGAGACAGGGAAGGGAAACTGAGGGAAGGGAACTGAGGGAAGGGAAACTGAGGGAAGGAGACAGGAAAGGAAACTGAGGGAAGGAAACTGAGGGAAGGGAAACTGAGGGACGGAAAGTGAGGGAAGGGAACTGAGGGAAGGAGACAGGAAAGGGAACTGAGAGAAGGGAACTGAGGAAACTGAGGGAAGGAAAACTGAGGGAAGGAAAACTGAGGGAAGGAAAACTGAGGGAAGGGAACTGAGGGAAGGAAATTGAGGAAGGGAAACTGAGGGAAGGAAATTGAGGAAGGGAAACTGAGGGAAGGAAAACTGAGGAAAGGAAACTCAGGAAAGTCCATCTGGGGCCGGTTCCTCTGGGCCAGCAGCCGGACCGGCCGGGCGGGCGCTGCCGCAGCACGGGGCTTTGGGGGTGCACGGGCCCAGCCCAGGTGAGCGTGCCGCTTCGCCGAGGGCCCTTCATCCCTTTCAGACATTTATCTGTCGCTTTGTAAAATTCACCAGCTCAGCAGGGCCCAGCCAGCAGAGCAAGTCGAGTTCTTTTGTGCCGCGCATTTGCTTTGATAATTACTCTGAAGCAAATTGGTACATTTGTAGATCTAATTTTATACAGCTACTTAACTAATTACTGCTGTCAGGAGTAATTTCTCTCTGGTAGCAGCGCTGGGTAGCGGCGTGTTCAGCGCCAGCGGCCGCCCCACGGCCAGGGCCCGGCCATGGCACTGAGGGAAGGAAACTGAGGGAAGGGAAACTGAGGGAAGGGAACTGAGGGAAGGAGACAGGAAAGGAAACTGAGGAAACTGAGGGAAGGGAAACTGAGGGAATGGAACTGAGGGAAGGAAACTGAGGGAAGGAAACTGAGGGAAGGAGACAGGGAAGGGAAACTGAGGGAAGGGAACTGAGGGAAGGGAAACTGAGGGAAGGAGACAGGAAAGGAAACTGAGGGAAGGAAACTGAGGGAAGGGAAACTGAGGGACGGAAAGTGAGGGAAGGGAACTGAGGGAAGGAGACAGGAAAGGGAACTGAGAGAAGGGAACTGAGGAAACTGAGGGAAGGAAAACTGAGGGAAGGAAAACTGAGGGAAGGAAAACTGAGGGAAGGGAACTGAGGGAAGGAAATTGAGGAAGGGAAACTGAGGGAAGGAAATTGAGGAAGGGAAACTGAGGGAAGGAAAACTGAGGAAAGGAAACTCAGGAAAGCATACTGAGGAAAGGAAAACTGAGGGAAGGAAACTGAGGAAGGCAAACTGAGGAAAGCCCATTGAGGAAAGCCCACTGAGGAAAGCCCACTGCAGGTACCTGTGTGAGGAGGGGACTGCAGCCCCTGGGCTTGGGGCGTCTCTTTGGCTCCGTGTCCCCTCCGTGTCCCCTCCGTGTCCCTTGCTGCAGGCAGGGTCCCAGCAGCAGGAGAGGCCCGTGGGTGACAGCGGAGCCCGCTGCCTCAATTACCCAGAGACAATAATCAGATGGCTGCTCTGGGGTTAATGGCACCTCTGAGCCCTGTCGAGGGCTTGATTTAATGCGCCCCAGACCTGCAGTGGTGCAGGTGCCATTTCAGGCCCTCATTTAATTTAAGCTGCTTTAGTTGGCATGGCAACTAGTTGAGACATCTGGGAGACATTATGCTCGGGATTGAGATTTAGGAGGATTTGTGGTGTAGCAAAACAAAAATCTTATCGTAATAAAGTGCAGAGTAATGCTTTGGGTTTTTAAAAGTATTTTGCATTAAATTGAATGTAAAGATTTGTTGCAGGTATAAGGTAAACCGCAAATTTTAGAAGTCTGCTATAAATATTTAAAAGGGTCTTTGCTAAAGGAAAAGAAAAATTAGAGGACTACAAATTATGGTGCTGCAGGGTTGGGTTTTTTCTTTATGAATTCTTTATGAATGCAATTTTAATATTTTTTTCCTCAAAAAGTTGGAGATATTTAATTTATAAAATGAGTTTTTGCGTGGTGTTCTGTTGGCAGATGAACCCTTTGGCCAACAGGGATTTGGCCGGAGAGGGTTTGTAGAGCAACAGATGAAAGCAGAGCATTGACTGGGTAGAGATGAAAGAAAATGAGCATTCAATACCTGGCAGTATCAGTTAACATGGGGCAAATGTGTTTTACCTCCTTCAGCCACACATGCGATAACAGCAGAGACTTCTGTTTCAAATGTGACTGCTAAACAAAGCTTTTAAAGCAGTAATGTTTTTAATTAGTGCCTGCAGTTCCCCCCGTGTTTATTGCGATGATTTCTCTGTGTGTTACTGTTGTCCCACAGCCAGGACATTGTCAGGAGGTGTCCATCCTGTGTGCAGCTTTCAGCCTTTTTCACTGCTTTTGAACCCCCTGAACACACACAGGCCCCTCTGGGAGCCACCTCCCCTCAGCCTCACTTGTCATTTGCCTTTCAGTAACTTTGTGCAGCTACCTTAATGCAAACTCTTGTGGACTAATCTGTTTTCTTTCACAAGCCGTTTTTTATTTTCATTCCTGTAAGAATTTGACCTCTGAAGCAGCTTTCTTCCCTTTAGCTCAATAATTCTGACCTGTAAGAGCTCAAGTAAGTAGGAGTTAGTGAATGTTTCAAGAGATTCTGTGCCTGTTCTGCTTTTCCTTGACCACTGGACTGCAGATATGTTGTCACTGAGCTGATGCAGAGTGACCTCCATAAGATTATTGTCTCTCCTCAGCCTCTCAGCTCGGATCATGTCAAAGTTTTTCTTTACCAGATTTTAAGAGGTAATTTTTCTTCCTCAAAATTTAATGAAAATTATGTAGTAGAAACATTTTTTTTCTTCATGTTTATTCTCAAGACGTTCTTATCTTGAATAAGCTTCCTGTAGGAACTTCTTTTAATTTCATATTTGAATAAATACCAAGCATGAATTACTGTAGCTATAAGAGCATGGCACCCCTGCTGCCTTAAAGTGTTGTCAGTGAAAGAAAAGTCATGCTTTTAGAATCAAGGGACAAAAAGGACAGTTAGACTGAACCAGATGGGTAAATCTGTGTAATTATATCCCCTTAAGGCAAAAATTGTTCCTGAAAAACAGAGCAGTAAGAGGTGTCTGAAAATTCCAGTGTGGGGATTAGCAGAGTATCCATGCCATAATCACAGAGATGATGTTTTGCTTTTGATTTGTTGTTTGTTGGGTTTTTGGGGAGAGTGGGTTTTTATAAAAAGACTGCTAAATTCCTTTTTCTGTGTATTTTATATACTCCAAAATTTTACCCTGTCATTTAAGTGACTGAGTGTGCACTAGTGGCTGGGAGTTACTCAAAACTGAGGCACAGGCAAAGCCTTTGCTGATCAGGAGTTGCCAGACCTTCTGGGAAAATGTAGTCAGCTTTAAAGTTCTTCTAAAAAGGGAAAAAATATTTTAATTTCTTTTACTGTTTCAGGTCTGAAGTATCTACATTCTGCTGGCATTTTACATCGAGACATTAAACCAGGGAACCTACTCGTGAACAGCAACTGTGTCCTTAAGGTGCTGCTTACATTTATTGAAGATGTTTGTGTGTGTATGTTGTTAATTTCTAAACAGAAAACATTCAGTGTGAACACTTTCCCTAAAAGTCCCTGTAAATGGAAAAAAATCCGACAGATTTTTTAAAAAGTAGAAATGAAGCAAACATCTGCCTTTCCCCTTCTCTCCCTGCCTGTCCCCACATCTCTGAAAGCAAGAGACAATTCCTGAGTTTGACTTGGGTGGGATGTCCTGTGCCTGGGAGGGGCAGGGGGTCCTCAGTGTCCCTGTGCTCCTCAGGGGAAGATGACACCAAATGCCCAAGGCACTTCCATTAGCCTTGGGTATATGGAATTTTGGAGGACTGAGGTGTGTTGTACAGCTGTGCCAAGCACAAAAATTCAGTGTTGTTTACAGGGATTTGCTAAGAATTCTAATTGGCAAAGTTTGGTCTCTTTTCTTAACCCTTCTGGTTCAAGACATTTTTAACAATTCACCAAGCCCAAATGAGTAGAGCTGGATCTTTAATATTTTGAGACATGTCATGAGCAAATGAAGTTTGTTTGAGTTGAAATATTCCGTACCCAGAGGTTGGGTTTTTTGTAGCTTTTTAATCTTTCAGATTAAATATTGTGATGCCAACTTAAAATGTACTGTGATTTCAAATCAAATAGTAGGAATTTTAAATGGCTGTGGAACAAAGCAACGTAATTTCCTCCTCTGCCCTCTACCCTGGCTTATGCAGTTCCAGCAGATTATCTGATGTATTTAAATGCTGGTTGGGGATCCCCTGCCTCCTTCCCAGAAGGTTGCCTATTTGAGATGCAGAAGGTGTTTTGGTTGTTTTAATTTTTTTATTTACCTTCTCAATTTAGATTTGTGATTTTGGATTGGCCAGGGTGGAAGAGCTAGACGAATCCCGGCACATGACTCAGGAAGTTGTCACTCAGTATTACCGTGCTCCGGAGATCCTGATGGGCAGCCGGCACTACAGCAATGCCATCGACATCTGGTCTGTTGGCTGCATCTTTGCAGAGTTGCTTGGCAGAAGGATATTGTTCCAGGCACAGAGTCCCATCCAGCAGGTATCCACCCTCAGCTCTCCCTGCCAGCCTGCTCCTGGAGGCTGTGGCACCTCGGGGGAGACAGGGAGGGGCTGGGGAGGCAGTGGAGCTGGGAAGGGAGCTGGAAAGGGGCTCAGCCTGGAGCAAAGGAGGCTCAGGGGGGACCTTGTGGCTCTGCACAACTCCTGCCAGGAGGGGACAGCCGGGGGGTCGGGCTGTGCTCCAGGGAACAGGGACAGGATGTTGACTCGTGGTAGCTGGGGAATCTGCTGCTCCAGTGGAGAGCATTGTGTGTGAGCTGTGTGCTGTGTGCTCTGTGCAGCTGGATCTGATCACAGACCTGCTGGGCACGCCGTCGCTGGAGGCGATGAGGACGGCTTGTGAAGGCGCCAAGGCACACATACTCAGGGGTCCTCATAAACAGGTACTGCCAGGGCTGCTCAGCCACCCAGCCCGCCAGGCAGGGCAGGCTTTCACATCCTGACTGAATTCCCGTGGCCTGCTGCTTAAAAATACCCGCCTGGGATGTTTGCCCTCAGCTGTCTGTGCCTGGCAGCGGGGCTGAGTTGGGCACAGGTGGTTGTGGTCCTTGGGACGGGGGTTGGTCTGTGCTGACTCCACCTGCTGTGGGGGCAAGGGGGCTTTTCACTAGGCAGGGGCATTTCTGGCTTCTGCCTTGGGGGGATTGTTGGACTTGGTGACCCAGGTGAAAGTCTCCCTTTCTGAGGCAGCAGTGTTTTGATACCGGCTTTGAATGAAGATGTTTGAATGTAAGTGTTAGTACTGGCAAGAGACATAAATTAAAATTGACAATATAATTCATGAAACCCTGGAGGGCTGCTGCACTGCCAGGATCAGGAGTGTTAGAGGTGGGATTGATCCACTGCCCAGAGCCAAGGGCAGAACCTCCAGCACCCCAAGCCCAGAGGGTCCCTGCACACCTGAGCTCAGACCTGAGCTGCTCAGGAACGCCCAGCAAGAGGCTGAAAGCTGAGACACAGCATTCAACGCAACTGGAGTAAAAGTTAGCTTGGAAAAAGACACCAAACCAAGGGAAAAAGGCAGGATGGAGTCATTGTGCTGACTGGGCAATAAAAAGGGCAAATGCAATGTAGTGTTAAGAGATAAAAAAAAATGCTTGTGCAGGCATCTCTAGTGCAGGGATAAGGCTCTGTGGCTCTCCAGTAGGGTCATTTTTATGATTGCTAACTAAATTAACCAAATTATTGCCCTTACTTGCTCCAGTAGTTAAGATTGCTAACTAAATTAATCAAATTATTGCCCTGTACTTACTCCAGTAGTTAAGTTTGCATCACTTGGAAAAAGACACCAAACCAAGGGAAAAAGGCAGGATGGAGTCATTGTGCTGACTGGGCAATAAAAAGGGCAAATGCAATGTAGTGTTAAGAGATAAAAAAAAATGCTTGTGCAGGCATCTCTAGTGCAGGGATAAGGCTCTGTGGCTCTCCAGTAGGGTCATTTTTATGATTGCTAACTAAATTAACCAAATTATTGCCCTTACTTGCTCCAGTAGTTAAGTTTGCATCGTTATTTTCTGCATGTTGAAGTAATTTCTCACGTCTGCTCACTACAATAGTAGTTACCATAGAAATGAGCATTGCATGTATGTATATTCTGCTTTATTATTGACATGTGGGAGTTCTGCCTCCCTGGCACTTTGGATCCACTACATAAAGTTGTCGCTGTTCCATTTCATGACAGGATTTTTTAATTTGAGTGTTAATAACAGGAGGATTTCCTTCAGGTTTTCTATGCCAGTTTTAAGTCAAGTTTACTTTTTTGCTGTCATGTGCTAAAAGAGTTGTGACTCCTAAACCCAGTGTCTTAGGACCCACAGGATGGTGGGAATCCTAAAATCCATTGAGGTGAAATGGTATAAAAACTTTCCACTACAGATTTAATGTCCTGTAGCCACAAAATTGTAAGAAATACACTCTAAGAATTAGTTGTGTGTGTGTTGGGGAAAACAATGTTGGTTCTCCCTGGAGTGCCACGGGAGCTGGTGTTCTCCCTGCACCTTGGAGTCAGGGGATATAGAGCATCCAGGTGATGACTGATATTTTTGTTTTCAACATGAAGCACACTTCATGTTTGAGTGCAAATTCCTGGCTTTTCCTGTTCTGAAATGGAGCTTTTGCTGGTTGTGAGTGGTTAAATGTTACTGGTTTCCTAATTAGACTAACAGGGAGAGCAGCCCAAGTTAGAAACGGGCGATTGCTTTGTCACACCGACTATTTTTACTCGCCGTAGGTGAGCGCAGTGGGAGAGAGGGGTGAGGCATTTTGCTGCTCTGAGTAAAAATAGATTAATGCGAGAAGTTTCTGATTAAACCCCCCCTACCCCACTGTGTGCTGGCAAAATGGGTATTTACATACTCTGTAGACTTTGTCAGTTTGGTATTTAAAAGTTCAAGTGAATCGTGTCTCTGGCAGCCCCAGGGTGAGCGAGCTGTCCCTGTCACTGCTGACCCCCTTCCCAAAGGAAAGGAGTCCATCCCTGGCCTGCTGTGATCCCTCTGCTGTGGGAGAGCAAGCCAGGAGGAGCAGAGTTACCAAACACTGCAGCTTTCTATTCCATAGGCTGCCCTGAGAAACCAAGGCTGGGAACTGCTCAGGGCTCTGTGTGGCACTTCAGGGTTAACCTCGACTGATGTCACTCTGGAGGTGTAATTCTTATTTATCTCAGCAACCCTGACATCCAGTACAGTCCTTCTGTCACTGTCAGTCAGCTGTGGATTGCCTGGGCAAGGAAAAGCAAAGTAATCCATAATTTGGGAGGGATTGAGATTAAAAAATGAACTGCTGGAAGTGATGGAGTTAATCCCGCCCTGGAGCAGCTACAGCTGGGAGTGGTGTCTGTAGAGAAAAATACATAAAGAAAAGCAGGTTTTTCCAGGGATTACACCTGAACTAAGGGGAACAGTGATCAGTTGGACCTTTATTACAGTTGCTGGGTTTTGTAATGGTGATTATTGTCATGCTGGAAAGCGTTAGGTACCACTTGTCCCCTTTAACAAGGAGTTTGTCCTTGCTGACTGTGGAATAGTGCGTGTGGGAGCAGGGTTTTCCTGATGATGGATCTGACAGGACACTCTGTGCTTCTCTTCCTCCCATTCCCCCTACAGCCATCCCTTCCTGTCCTATATACACTCTCCAGTCAAGCTACACACGAAGCAGTTCATCTCCTTTGCAGGATGTTGGTCTTTGATCCAGTAAGTAGGACTGAAAATCACCTCTAATACTTCTGGTTTCAACACTTTTTGTTGTCTGCTGCTTAAATGACTGCTGTAGCTGGTTTCCTTCTACATGGCATTGCAGTACTTTTGGTCCATGAAAAAAGTAAAAATATCTTATAATTGGCTGATCAGTTCCCCCTGGAATGGGGGTGTCACATTTCAAACCGAGTGGTCCTGGGAAGGAAGCTCTGGCAGTGGGAAGGATGAGGCTGTGCATGACTCATGCTCTTTTCCAAGCTGGGTGTAGGTAGCAGAACATCAGCTACTTTGATGCAGTTCTAATTAGGGACACGGGGGTGTTCCTGGTCTTGCAACACACAAAAAATTCCTCCTGCATCCCCAATCACAGAACAGGATCATTTTTCCACTGAGCATCTGTTTTTCTAATAAAAATATGCTGCTGTGGAATTTGGATTGATAATCTTAATTATTTCATTCCCACAGAACCCCCCCCAATATTGCTAATGTAAAACATAGTGACTGCAGTGCAAAGGAGGAGGCTGGGGGTTGATGAAGCATTTAGAAGCTTCCTTGGGAGTGTATTTTTTTTAAACCTTAAGAGTGCTTTGCTGAGCAGAACCATGGAAATGTTAAGCCATAACTTCCAGATTAAAAAAAAAAATCTTTTCTGACTCCCTCAACGCTTAGAATGCTGTCTTTCCCAGCTTGTTTTGATTTATTGCAGGAGTCATAATTGTAAGGTTATCTGGAGAAAAAAGCCTTTGAAAGGCACGTTCCTAAAAGCTGTGTGCTCGGCGTGTGCGGGGTGGCTGGGCTGGGCGGGAGGTCGGTGCCACCCAGGCTGGTTTGTGAGCCTCAGCTCCCCTCTAGTGGCAGCTCCTCTCACACCAGCCCGGGTGTATGAAGCACTGAGGACGGATCAGTGGGTAGTTCCTCACGCCTGCTCTCTTCCCTCCCAGTCCAAAAGGATATCTGCTAAGGATGCCTTAGCTCACCCCTACCTGGACGAGGGCCGGTTGCGGTACCACACCTGTATGTGCAAATGTTGTTTCTCCACTTCGACTGGCAGAGTTTATACCAGTGATTTTGAGCCCATCACTAATCCCAAATTCGACGACACCTTTGAGAAGAACCTCAGTTCTGTTCGGCAGGTTAAAGGTGAGCAGGAGTTTTCCTTGCACGTGCAGTTGTCCCCCTGCTCCACCCTGCAGCAGGGGGGACGTGGGATGGAGCTGGGATGGAGTTGGGATTGGTGCTCTGGATCCACACAATGACCCCAGTGCTGGTTTCTTCTAGGTATTTTTCCATTGTAGACACTGGAAATACTTTCTTTTCACCAAAAGAACAGAATTGTCAGTGTTCTGAGACACAGTGGCACAAGCATGAGCTGACCTTGTAGACACTGGAAATACTTTCTTTTCACCAAAAGAACAGAGTTGTCAGTGTTCTGAGATAAGGCAGTGGCACAAGCATGAGCTGACCTGCATTTTTTTTTCCTTTTTTTTTTTTTTTTTAATTGAAGTGAGATTGTACAAACAGATAGACATACATTTTGATATTGAGCCATTCCTGAAGATTTTGGGTTTTCTAAAACTAAGGAATACAGAAAACTTGACTGCGACCAATCATGAAGTCCCTTTGGGTGGCCGTGGCCATGGGAAGTGGCCACGTCCCCTGATGCCCAACCCTATAAATAGCTTCTCACTAGAGCTGTGATGGTGATGTGTGCTGTTCTAAAATCAAATGTTGTGAGTAGAGAGAATGAGTTTGTGACTAGGAGAGACTAAACTTCTGTTTCCTTACCCAGTATAAATATATATATATATTTAATCTATTTTTATTAGAAGTTTTTCTGCTCTTTCTTACATAAAACCCCCCAGCATGCATCTTCTATGTGTGTAAATAATTCCATTTATGGGCTAATTTCAGAGATCCCTGACATCATTGCTGTATAGAGAGAAACTAGCTTGCACATTTTAGGTCTGTGAAATTTTGTGAGAACTTTTTCCTGCACTGGACAGTTGAGAGAAAAAAAAAGAAAAGGACAAAAAAAAGCACATAGGGAATTCTGTTAATTGTGTTCGTGTCTTTAGGCAGAGCTGTGGAAGTCTTGAAATGTCACAGTAGTAAATAACTTTTATTACTTTTTGGCTAATTCTTTTTCTGTTGGAACACTGAATTCTGTGCATATGTATATATGAACACAAATTGAAGGCCTCTACCTCCTGGAGTATACAACTTGGTTTGTTTACCTCCACATGATTTTTTTTTTTTTTTAAGTTTAGTGTGGAGACTTGAAACTTGAATGTCCCTTCCAACTTTTGTATTTAAAACAAGACTAGAAAATTGAAGACTGTTTTTCACCTGTACAAAGGAATACTAAAAGGTGGTCTTAAAATTTGAGCCTTGGTCTGGAGAGAAACCATGGTGTTTGTTATGGACAATTAACTGTTAAAGTTATTGTAAGTTATCTGTATTTAGCAGAGTATTTTCAACAAGAGTGATCTGAGCTGGAATTGGAGACTATTAGTAAGTTATGTTTGGAAGTTTTAACTTCAATGAAGTAATTATTTGCTGTGAAAGAGACAAACATTGAATAACTGAACAAAGATGGTGCAATATCTTTGTTTTTTATGAGGCTCCTGAGAATAAAACCAACTGAAGCATTTCAATTCACTTGAGTGAGAAACGTGTTTAATTATCGAGCCCCAGAAGACACTGGTATGAAAGGTAAAATCTCAGAGGTTGGTCAGTTAATGTGGCACACTTGCTGGTCACTTTGTAAAATGTAGATTTGGAGTACAGTGGTGAAAACATTAAATGTGACATTTGAAAACGCGCTGGTGGAGTCATTCTTTCCTTTTCCTGCCCGCTCGGCCCCGGCCTGCTTGGCCCTTGTAACGTTTCCCGGGCGGGAAACTCAGGAGCTCAGGATCGACGGGTGCGGGGAAGAAACGGCTGGGCCGAGGTGCGGGACCGGGGGGACAAGAGCCGGGCTGGCGGCACCGCCGGGGAAACGGGGAAAGAGCGGGGAAAGGGGGAAAGAGCGGGGCAAGGGGGAAAGGGGAAAAGAGCGGGGAAAGAGCGGGGAAAGGGGGGAAGAACGGGGGAAGG